AATAATAATAATAATAATTATTATTATTATTATTATTATTATTATTATTATTATTATTATTATTATTATTATTATTATTATTATTATTATTATTACCCATTAAATGTATATGCCTTACAATTCCCTTGTAACTTGCGGGAACATTATCATGTTATATAGCATATTGTTTTTCTATTACTTTGTTGAGGTTTGTTTTATTGTTGAGCAATATTTGTGAGTGAATTGTGATCTACATACACATAATTAAATAATCTTCTGCAGTGTATTTCCTTCTCTTTCTCTCTCATACACATATGTGTGTGTTTTGCATGTGGGAATGGGAATAGGTCTTTTGCAGAGCCAGATTTTTGAAGGCAGGTGATAGGTCAGAATCAGCTGTATTTAACCAGTTTCCTAGGTTGGGAACATGTTTGGGTGGCATACAATTCAGGAAAGCTAGGTTAGAGAAAAAGAGACCTTGAGCCGTTCCACATACATAATCTGCACTCTTCTCCAACCCCTGCAACCTATTCATACATGCTAAAACAAACATGTGACACTGAAATGTGTTTGTTTCCCCAGTCTATTGGAACACAAGATTCTTGACATGGAAGAAAGGCATAAAGAGGAACTAGATACGTTAAAAGAGGAAAAGGGGGACCTGCAAGTTTTGGTATCTCGTCAAACCTACATTATCCAAGAACTTGAGAGGCAACTAAGTAAAGCAACAACCAATAACAGCATTATGCAGAAGCAACAACTTGAACTCATGGACACAGTCCATAGCCTGGTCAGCATTTGTTCTAAAGATGGAGGTAAGATGGTATTAGTTTGAAAAATAAACAGGGGTAAGATTGATTGAATGTCTTTAGTGCAATGAATGACTTTATTCATTCCAGTATACAACTCCCCAAACTAGTTAGTGGGGGGGGGAAGGAACAAAAAATGTGCCTTCCTCCATATTTCCATTGCTAATACCAATGGTCTGTGAGGATTGATATTGCTGATTGTAGACCAGCTCATTGGAAGTAGGTATATAAGTTCCCCTTGGAGTCTAAGAGCGAAAACATTTTATTTGTTTTTCTTAAGAATGTAAAATCATTTGATTTGACTACATTAAAGTGGTGCATTTTGGGATGGAAAGAGTACAAGCCATTACTAATGTGCTAATCAGGAATTGGTCTGGTAGTGTGAAATGAGAACATTGGGTGTCGGGTTCCAAAATCAAGGAAGATACTGAGATCTTCTTAAGCAGATTTCTTTGTTGTTTCTCATCTATAGAGATAATTCTCAAATTAAAGCAGACTAGTTTGCACCAAAAACATAAATTATGAGACAGGGGTAGGATTCAATCGGTTTGGAATTCAGTCCAGCTACTGAATCGGTAGCTCTGATGATCAGCTGGAAGTGAACTAGTTCGCTCACACAATCAAGTGGGCCTGCCCACCTGACCCTGCGCTTTACCTATCTTTATCTTCTCAGCTGAGTCGCTCAGCAGAGTGAATTGTCACACCTCAGCGATTTTCCTTCCCAAGCAGCAATCCGGAAGGTGAATATTCTCTCAATTGTGCATGTGCGCACTCAGCACATGCTCAGAGTGTGCTCAGTGAACTAGTTGTTAAACCGGTAAGATCCCACCCCTGGTATGAGAACTGTCAGCAAGGAGCAATCTTCTCCTTCTTTCTTTCACATAAACTATCTAAATTGTGTGGCCTCTTGTTGCTCTGGAATGCACTGTCTCTTTCCTGAGAACCTAGAAAACTTTCTATCATATTGGATGAGGCTTGCTGGTTCTTGAGGAATTACCTGTAAATTCTGATCATTTTCAGAGGATTTGCATTTGCTAGGGTTGAGTTGAACACTGAAGTTTGACTCTTGCCATATTGCAAATGGTAGAGATCAGGGGTGGGTTCCGACTTCTGTTATTGCCAGTTCTCTGAGAGATGCACATCAAGCATGTGTGAACTCTTGATGCACAGTAGTAAAAAAATTGCTTCTGTGCATGTGCAGAAGCAAAAAAACAAGATGGGCCACCTATGGCGCCACTGATAGAACAAGTTCAGGCACATGGCTGGCTGAGTTATTACCTACTCCGCCAAACCAGTCCGAACTGGTAGGAACCCATCTCTGGTACAGATCAATTTGTCCTTAGTCTTTTGCTCATCTGTATTCTTATTCTGGTAGTCATTTTGACAAATCGATCCTGACTACTCAAAGTAGTGTGGACAACCAGTGGAGGTCCTGATGTTGTCGAAAGGAAAATGGCAGCAACTGTAGCTAGTCGGGCCAATACTGACGTTCCTCCATTCCCTAGCCTGATAAAAATACAAATCTCTTTTATTAAAGTGCTGCACTTCTCCTGAGTCAATTTGGTTAAGTCTGTTGGTATCTCCCAGACCTAATTTGGATTGTGAGCCGCCCTGAGTCCCCTTGGGGAAAAGGGCGACATAGAAATATAATAAATTCAATTCAATTCAATTCAATTAATTTCCACTTTTTGTTTTGTATTGTATTTTTAAACTATAGTTAAGTTGGATTGAAAAATATTATCTAACTATCTGATAACCTGGTTTTGCCCGGGTATTTATTAATCCTAATCCTGTATTAGACAGGAAAACCCCTGATTTTGTTGAAAATGTCCCAACCAAATATAATTTCTAATGTTGGATTTCCCCCCTTACCAGTGGGAACCCCCTTGTGGAGTACTGTGAAGCTCTTACCATGGAAACTCCACTGTGCTGTACAGTAGAAGCCATTTACGTCAGTATGGTAGAAGCCATTTTAGGGCACAACAGGCTGTATCTTAACAGAACACAGCCCCCAAGGGATATACATACATACATACATACATACATACATACATGCATGCATGCACGCACGCACGCACGCACACACACACACACACACACACACACACATCTTCAATAAACTTGATTGTTCTACATTATTATAATGGATGAAGGAGGCATATACCATTCTGAAGTTGAGAAAATTTAAGAATCTGATTTTTAACTTTTTTATTTTATTTTATTTTGAGAGAAGTTTCAAAAAGTCAAAACCTCCCCTGAAAGAATAATAATATTTTTCCTATAATATTAATACTAAACCAATAGTCTATAATAAATAAATTGAGAGAATATTAGTATAAAAATCCTGGGTATAAATTTAAGAACCCGATATTTAACTTTTATTATATATTAAGGTAGCAAAGCCTGGCCATGCAAAAGGCTTAAAACCTCAACACAGATGTTCAAATCATCTTAATTTCCTGCCCAAAGTATCTGAGGTGAGCCAGCAGTAATCTTATTTTTCCACATTTCATCACAAGTCTATTTGATCAATGATCAGAACAATAAAAGAAAAAGTGCATTATGGTAATGTAGCATAGACTTTTTAAACTTTGTGTAAAAATTTAATAGCACACTATGAAACAAAACTCACCATGGGCACAATATTTATTCTTTGTTACACAAATCTAAATCTGTAGTAATATATTTAGATACTTTAATAGCTGCGACACCGAATTCAGCCCCATTAAATGTGATGTTAGGCTTATGGTCTAATAAGAGAAAAGCAAGATAAAACTTATCTGATTTTCCTATCTTGTATTACAAGGGAGAGATGAGAGATTGAGAAATACTTTGATAATATGTGCAGTGCACAAAACATGTTGGGTGGTTTTTTATCAAGTTTGAATTGTGCTGATAGGTTTTTCTGACAAAGGGGAATTTTACCTAATCTACCACTGAGAACTGCTGTAGGTAAAACATCATGTCTGATTCTAAAAAAAGAATTGCTGCTGAGTAGGGGATATACATGTGGTTGAAAATCTACATGATTTCCACTTAGGGTATTTTAAATGTTCCTTGATATGTTTTAAACTAAGTTCATTCTATAGTTTAGTATCAAATAATCTGGCTTTGGCCATTTGACAGGTTATTTTATATTATAAAGACAATAGTAGGCTACGAGAGAGGCCGAAAAGGACACATTTTTTGAGGGCTAGTAAATTCCAAGAGCTTTGAAACTGATCTGTCATCATTAGAAGGATCAATCCTGCTGGGAGGGGGGGGGGGAGAGGATTTGAGCCAAAAATTATATATGAGCAGCCATGCCTTTACCTCTACTTTCAACAATTGTTTTCCTACCTAAGGAAAGCATTTGATACATATTTTTATCCATGGAAAATTGATCGTATAAACCTGGTTTGGACCATTTCTGGAGATTCATAATCAGAAAATTGGCCTAAGTGTATTCCATAAAACGTCTGAATTATAAACTTTGCCTCAAATAACTGAAATGCAGCAAGAATATGTTCCTTGCCTTGCAAGGACATGAAAGATACACTAAATGCTAAGAAACACTTAGCATTTCAAGGCTGATTGTTTCATGTATTCTATATGAATTTTCCAAAAACCAATAGCAGGTAGCACCAACACTAAATATTTCAAACTCTTAATTTGTTCTATTTCACTTCCTGAAATAGTCTGCTTATGCTTTTCAGGCTTTTTAGCAAGCTACTATTAGTTTCATTTTCTGCTATTTAATTGTTTTTTTTCTCTCTAAGTGTTGGGATTGCTCTACGTCTACTGATCTCTCCTGTTGGTGTGCAGGTTGTGCTTTTGGGCTATAAAAGATATGTGATCCATCTTTGAAGTCCATAAAAAAAGACACAGAGTCAAATTTTCCAAGAGTCAATTTATGTTGATCTCGTTCATATCTGAGTCATGCTCATTAGCTTCCATTGTCGGATGATAAGTTTTGAAATACTATTGGAAATAAATATCAAATGATTAGATCTATATTCCTTATTCTTATTTTACGCCAATACTCAGACTTTATATGAAATATATGTATGCATGTATGCATGTATACGCATGTATATGCATGTATACGCATGTATGCACGTATGCACGTATACACGTATGCACGTATACACGTATACACGTATACACGTATACACGTATACACGTATACACGTATACACGTATACACGTATACACGTATAC